AGGACCGTTTCCACACCGGTTTTTCGCTTGTCGGACATATATGCGTTTGTCAAAAGATTTATCATCAGGGTCCCCTTGACATCCCTTTACAAGGAAACCTGGTTGGTGTTTGGAACATGTTTTTTCCATATTGCGAATTGCATCATCCCAGCTGACGACCACCAACCAAAAACTGTATTTTCAGACTTACCGGTATTTTGCTGTTGGGGTGCTTCAAGCACCATCCGATCTAGCAGAGTTCCATGCTAACTCCAGGACCTCCAGGAAAAAATGAAGATGTGCTTGGCAAAGGCAAACATTCAGAAAAAGGAGGACATCTTGAGCTGGTCGCATGGTTTTCAATCCCAACAACCCCCATTATGGTAAGCCGGTCGCTGATTGAGTACCCGGATGGGTTACTTTTTGTTTCATAATTGGGAAGAGGTACTTACCCATTGCAGCTATTTTTGTTGCAGGGTTTAAGTGGGTCTTTGTTCATTCGCCATGAATTAGCTCATCGGGTTACATACCCTCTGGTTATGACTAACATAGCCATGGTATAGATGGCCCATTTATGGATGGTTTATGGTTTACCGTTCTTAAAAATGGTGATTTTCCATGGCTATGTTAAATAACCAGATGGTACTTTTCAGGAGCTTTGAGCCACCAGGCGGGTGGATTACTAGGGGTTGAAGACATCAACCACCTAGTTTTTTCTCAGGATTCATGCAGAAATTGTTGCCCCAGAACCAGTTGCAGCTTGGAAAGCTTGGAGTTGGATCGACTTGGTCGGTTGTACCCAATGGAATCCCCATCTTTTCATGGTGATCCACAAGTATTGAGGGTACAATGTAGGGCCCCCAAACGGTAGCTAAGTTGGTTGAAATCACTCCAAATGATTATGGTTTATGATTCGCAAATAACTATAGGATCCATGAGACTTATAAACCAAGAAACATCACCGCGGGGCCCACATTGTATGAATCACGGTTCATCACTTTCGCGCAGGACAATAGGACGACCGACAATGACAAGACTGCCGTCAAGCAGAAGGTGGGCGGTGTCGTGTCACAAAATTGGGGACCTTCAACATATGCCAACGGGGTTTATCATAAATACAACATGAAATGGGTCTGAAAATGTGCTATACAGGCTATACCCCCAAAATGTCGAATGGGAAATATGATGGTCAACCAAGGTCAACCAATGGTATTGGGATACCCAATTTCAGACACAACCAGATAGCAAGCAACGCTTTCAGGTGTAAAGCATGTATGCTTCACCTAGAAAAGCTGTCTAGTGGCTGTTGCAATGTCTGTGCCCTGGAGGAAACAGAGTTGCTGCATAGTTTCCAAAAACCTATAGCCATGGGTTGTTTTAGGGAAGTCTTGGGAACACAGCAGCCAACTTACCATCGTTGCCTATTCGACCTTGGCTAACTGGTATTGACCATCAACTGTGGCCGAGAGTGGTTAACAGCCATGGCTAGTTCAGGCAGTCATCCCTAGGAATATGCATTATACATGTGATTTATCATTTTATGTTCATTAACCCTGCCAGTTTTGGGGGGGTATACCGCCCCGGTTTCAGACACATCGAAACGCAATGCTCAAGAGCTTGGCACGGTGCCAGCTCCGTGACGCAGGACTTGGCAGAGGTGGAATACAGATTTTTTTCCAGAGGCGTTGCTGATGCGAAGGCGCAAGCAGATGCGAGCAGTGGGTGAAAATTGAGGGCTTGGGGGAAAACAGACTATCCAAGTATTGGGGTACCCAATTCTGACCCATACCTATGTGGGTCTGTCTGAGCATTGGGAAAGACCTTAAATTGGCATTTTTTCATAAGTCCGCAACTGAGAAGCATTTTCCAATAGCCTCATGGATAACTTATACATACCTGTGATAACTATTGAGAACCATTTTCCAATTTTTCCAATACCCTCTATAACTTATAGAAAGTGGGGCTACGGCATTGACACAGCCCATGTTTAGATCCAGTTGATGACTGGGCTGGGAAGCTCTGGGTGGAACCCAGCTGCGACCTGGGCCGCACGAAGGTGATCCTGAAAGTTTGACGTGGATCCACTGCATGGCTTCGTTTCAAAACAGGGAAAACCCCAACTAACTACACTATATACACAACCATTCTGTTTGGTAACATGATGACAGTCCGTCGGATTTTGGGGGAAATACATTTTCGTTCAAGCCACATCCTATTGGTCATAATTTTTCTATTCTAGTGAATGAATGAACCCCAAATCAGCTTGTATATGGATCGATTTACAGAACCACTGAAAGAAGTTTGACACGTTCTATATGACACGTTCTACAAAAGCTGACAGCCACGCAGCCAAAGGCATTGGAGGTGTCTTTTTGTTTTGTTCGGTTTAAAATCATGTTAATCCTTCTGTAGAAAGAAGGCTGACCGCATGCATTCACATGCCTTCTTTAGGATCAAGGAGATGACATCGAAGAAGATGAGGCACGAATGGAAATGGGCATGGATGTTGAATGTACACATACTGCGGATGGGAAGAAATCCTGCACTACCTTGGATAGTTCAAGCCCTTAAAAAAACATAAATACTGCGATACAACCACTTGCCAACTGATGCAGGACTTCTTCCATCCATTGTAGGTTGCCATAGAACTTTTAGATTTTTTTGAAGCAGAAAGTTCACAATCTGATGAATCTGATGAATCTGATAGATATTGAAAGTTCAAACACAATCCATGCAATAGGATTCAGATTTTGGTGTGTTTGAACCACACGGTGGGGCCAGTCACACATCTCCTCGTGTTCTTCGGTCGTATATTTAGAATCCCAAAGTCATATCATCCATGATATATCCCATATTCACTCTTACCTAACAAATACCCACTCAGGTAGTTATCCTTATGTGTATATATATATATACACTGGTAGGACAAAAGTTGCGCTTGTTGAGCTTCCCACAGTGAACATGGTTGGTTTCTTCTTCTGCACACCCTTTCCCCGTAGAATCCTAGCATGGAGCTTTGTCGTACCCCGGTCGCATTCCCACCCTCCAAAAGCTTTAAAATCTTATATATTTAAAAGAGGGTGATAATTGACCGTCCCACACCTGCCACACAAAACGGACTTGAAAATGTGATCCGCGGTTGACCGAAATGGATGTTTTGTAAAGCTTTCAAGAAGCATAAACTTTGTTCCTCCTGAAGGGTACAAAAAGCTTATTGAGTGGGGATTGCCAAGTCATTTGCTGATTTTTGCACCTGCTTCAGCTTGGTCATTACTCCACATAACATGCCTGTCTCCATCCTCTTTGTCTGCACTGCTACACATGTGCCGTGACGCACTGGTAGGACAAAAGTTGCGCTTGTTGAGCTTCCCACAGTGAACATGGTTGGTTTCTTCTTCTGCACACCCTTTCCCCGTAGAATCCTAGCATGGAGCTTTGTCGTACCCCGGTCGCATTCCCACCCTCCAAAAGCTTTAAAAATCTTATATATTTAAAAGAGGGTGATAATTGACCGTCCCACACCTGCCACACAAAACGGACTTGAAAATGTGATCCGCGGTTGACCGAAATGGATGTTTTGTAAAGCTTTCAAGAAGCATAAACTTTGTTCCTCCTGAAGGGTACAAAAAGCTTATTGAGTGGGGATTGCCAAGTCATTTGCTGATTTTTGCACCTGCTTCAGCTTGGTCATTACTCCACATAACATGCCTGTCTCCATCCTCTTTGTCTGCACTGCTACACATGTGCCGTGACGCACTGGTAGGACAAAAGTTGCGCTTGTTGAGCTTCCCACAGTGAACATGGTTGGTTTCTTCTTCTGCACACCCTTTCCCCGTAGAATCCTAGCATGGAGCTTTGTCGTACCCCGGTCGCATTCCCACCCTCCAAAAGCTTTAAAATCTTATATATTTAAAAGAGGGTGATAATTGACCGTCCCACACCTGCCACACAAAACGGACTTGAAAATGTGATCCGCGGTTGACCGAAATGGATGTTTTGTAAAGCTTTCAAGAAGCATAAACTTTGTTCCTCCTGAAGGGTACAAAAAGCTTATTGAGTGGGGATTGCCAAGTCATTTGCTGATTTTTGCACCTGCTTCAGCTTGGTCATTACATAACATGCATCCTCTTTGTCTGCAACACATGTGCCGTGACGCAGGGTACAAAAAGCTTATTGAGTGGGGATTGCCAGTCATTTGCTGATTTTTGCACCTGCTTCAGCTTGGTCATGCTCCACATAACTGCCTGTCTCCTCCTCTTTGTCTGCACTGCTACACATGTGCCGTGACGCACTGGTAGGACAAAAGTTGCGCTTGTTGAGCTTCCCACAGTGAACATGGTTGGTTTCTTCTTCTGCACACCCTTTCCCCGTAGAATCCTAGCATGGAGCTTTGTCGTACCCCGGTCGCATTCCCCCCTCCAAAAGCTTTAAAATCTTATATATTTAAAAGAGGGTGATAATTGACCGTCCCACACCTGCCACACAAAACGGACTTGAAAATGTGATCCGCGGTTGACCGAAATGGATGTTTTGTAAAGCTTTCAAGAAGCATAAACTTTGTTCCTCCTGAAGGGTACAAAAAGCTTATTGAGTGGGGATTGCCAAGTCATTTGCTGATTTTTGCACCTGCTTCAGCTTGGTCATTACTCCACATAACATGCCTGTCTCCATCCTCTTTGTCTGCACTGCTACACATGTGCCGTGACGCACTGGTAGGACAAAAGTTGCGCTTGTTGAGCTTCCCACAGTGAACATGGTTGGTTTCTTCTTCTGCACACCCTTTCCCCGTAGAATCCTAGCATGGAGCTTTGTCGTACCCCGGTCGCATTCCCACCCTCCAAAAGCTTTAAAATCTTATATATTTAAAAGAGGGTGATAATTGACCGTCCCACACCTGCCACACAAAACGGACTTGAAAATGTGATCCGCGGTTGACCGAAATGGATGTTTTGTAAAGCTTTCAAGAAGCATAAACTTTGTTCCTCCTGAAGTATGATGATGCATGTTGGGGCGCAGAATGGATGGCTGAGTTGGTAGAGAAACATCCAGTACTGGCCTCAATACCCTCACTTGTCAAGGACAACCTAGTGGAAGTGCCGGCCGAAGACCTTTCGCTTTTGAAGGCCAACAGAAGAACCAGGAGACGATGGATTGAACAAGGGGTCACTGTACATTTGTACGCCGGGCCAGAAGAAGGCCTGACTCTGAAGAGAGCCTACTTGGAGAAGGGAGGTGATGGCACGAGGTTGATCGAAATAGACGTGAAGAGAGGAGCACATCATGACATGTTGAGAATTGGAGGGATGTACAGTACCCTCCTCAAGCTGGCAATGCTAGGAGCCATTGATGCAGTGGTTGGTGGCCCAAATTGCCGCACACGTTCAGTGCTGCGACACACACCAAGAGAAGGCTTCCCAGGACCATCGAGGACGGCGGGATACCCTTGGGGACTTCCAGATGCTCCCCCTGATGAACAAGGAAAGTTGTTGCAGGACGATGCATTGATGCTGAGGATGCTGACCCTGTACATGGTTGCACAGATAGCGAGAGATGCAATGGTGAAAGAAAGAAGCAAGAGGTGTTTGAAGGCCAAGGTTGGATTTCTGTTGGAGCAGCCAGCAGCACCGGAGTGGTGTCCAGAATGCGCTTCGTGGTGGAGAAATCGAACATGGTTGCTGTTCAAGCACTACTACCAGATGGAAGAAGTGACGTTTTACCAAGGAGATTTTGGAGGTGAAGCGAGAAAGCCAACAACATGCGGAACAAACCTTGGGTTTCAACCACCAGACCCACTAGTACATGGTGGGAGGAGCAGAGAACAAGGTCCAGAACTGGATTCCAGTAAGCTCTCGAGGTGGGCTCCTGGGATGATGCATGAAGTTGCAAGGCTTTTGATAGAGGAAGTAGAAGGAAAAGAAGTTCGACTGAAGAAGTTGTCGTGGACTGCCCACGTTGACCATGCACATGTGCCGTTTCGGCGCGATTGCGTGGTTTGCCAGAGGTCAGCAGCGAGACAAAGGCCGCATAGAAGACATGATGATCCAGAAGCGCATTGTTTAGCTGTTGACATTTGTGGCCCATTGAAGTGGGGTCAGGACGTGGATGGTGAAGAGAAGAAATACCTTTTGGTCGGCTCCTACACGTGGCCAGTGGAAGGTAAGGACTCTGATGAAAGCTTGGGGATGTTGGATGAGGAGACTGCTGAAGATGATGAAATGCTTCCGGTTTTGGAAGATGAAGAGGCAGAGCAAAGGGAGGCGTCAGCGTCTTCTTCCTCGCCACCCAAGAAGGAGGCTCAAGCAGAGGGTTTACCTTCAAGACCAGCATCGAAAAGGAAAGGGGAGGAAGAGAAGCCTCCTGAGGATGCAGAAAGTGCTGAGGAGAAGACTGAAGAAGGGAAGCTGGAAGAAAAGTTGAAGACAAAAGGAATGCTGAAGCTGATGACATGTGTGCCATTAGCCTCAAAGCATGCGCTGGATGTTTTGTCAGGAGTCCAAGAATTGGTGGTGAAGCTCAGAAGGTATGGCTACCCAGTCGTACGCCTGCACACGGACTATGAAACAACCTTTGTCAACAAGCACTTGAAGGGATGGTGCTTGAACCGAGGAATTGTGAGGACATCGTCCACCCCAGAAGAACACCAACAAAATGGAAGAGCAGAAGCTGCAATAGCTTCTATCAAGGGAAGGGTGCGACGTCTCTTGCACTCCTTTGGCATGGAGACGAAGTGGTGGCCGATTGCAGCACGACATGTGGTAGAGCTGGAGAGAAGAAGGTTTGAAAGGATTGAGGACAAACTGCCAAGGTTTGGACAGAAGATAGTGACAAGAAAGCGGAAATGGAAAAGAGGAGATGAGTTTGAAACGACAGCACAGGAAGTCACTTACCTGACTCCAATCCCAGAAGTTTCAAAAGGACATGCGGTTATGGAAGAAGATGGAAGTTTCAAGGTGGTGAGCTGCCTGATCCAGGACTGCAAAGAGCCGCAGGAAGAAGAAAAGAAGTTGGAGTTAGAAGAAGTGATTCAAGAAAGGGACCCTATGGAAGCGCGAAGAAGACTGAGGAAAAAGATGTCAGTCGCTTCTTTGAGGATTCCAGAAGAAGAATTTGCAGAAAGTATCAAGCTGTTCCAGGCAGTTTTGGAGCAGGATGAAGCGATGTACAATGAAGACGAAGAGGTCATTCCGGCAGTGATGAAAGGGATGATTGCCATCAGAAAGGAAATGGCGGCACTGCAAGAAGGCCGACTTGAAGAAGAAGTGCTACAGACCAGGGTAGTTTCCAACCAGGAAGTGTATCAAAACAAAGGTGAGTGGGTTGGAGCTATCAGAAAGGAGATTAACAATTTGGTGCAGAAAGGAGCAGTCAAGAGGCTGACCAAAGAGGAAGCTGCGTACTACAAGAGAGAGCATGCAGACAAGTTGGAGGTGGTGCCAGGAAAAGCAGTACACACGATAAAAGCACCAGATGGTAAGAAGAAATGCCGCCTGGTGGTGTGTGGGAATCACCTTCAAGGAGGAGACAAAAAAGAAACCAAGGAGGAACATGCCAACTACTATGCAGGAGGGGCAGACACAATCTGCCTGCGACTTGCACTGTCCATGGCAGCACGCTATGGGTGGGACATTGCAGGTTTAGATGTGGTTGCAGCGTTTTTGAACGCGCAGCTGGGGGATGTGCATGAGAAACCACAACCAAGAGAAGACCCAACAAGAGACAGAGGCCGCATTGTGTTGATGCAACCACCGCGGGTTCTGGAAAGACTAGGTCTGATCGAAGTTGGAGAGCTTTGGCTAGTGGAACGTGCCCTCTATGGACTGAGAGAGTCGCCTCGCCTGTGGAGTGATCACAGGGATGGAACCCTACATGGCATGGAAATACAACAAGGAGGCAGGACGTTGAAGTTGCTGCCGAGTTTTGCAGAAGAAAACCTTTGGCTGATCAAGGATACCAGCCTTAGAGATGAAGGTGGAGTGCAAGGATTGGTTTTGATTTACGTGGACGACATGTTGGTCATGTCGAACCCGGAGATCACCAACATGGTGGTGGAAAAGATACAGAAGACATGGGAAGTGACCAAACCTCAATGGGTCACTGAAACAGAGCCAGTTCGGTTCTGCGGGATCGAGATCTACAAGAACAACGAAGGGGATTACTTTGCGGGACAGCAGTCCTTTGTGAAAGAAGTGCTGAAGCGCCACAACTGCAAGGAGTTTGCGGCATCCCCTTTGAAAGACAACTTCGAGCCGGAGGAGGAGCTAGATAGGACAAGAGAGGAGATCCAACTGGCCCAAAAACTGGCCGGAGAACTGCTGTGGTTGGCCGGAAAGACCCGACCCGACCTAGCTTACACTACCAGCCGTATCTGTTCAAATGCAACCAGGTCTCCAAAATGGTGTGCAGGAGCAGCTGCACACACCATGAAGTACCTCAACAGAACCTGGGGTATGGGACTGTACTTCAGGAAGAAGGGAGGGAATGTCCTGGAAGTGGCAACAGATGCCAGTTTTGCACCAGGTGGTGGTTTGTCGCATGGCTCAGTGGTAGCAAGCATGGGAGGTACGCCAGTGATGTGGAGGTCCTCAAAACAGCCTTTCCCCTGTTTGTCTACCGCAGAGACTGAGCTGGTAGAAGCCATCGAGGGAGTCATAGTTGGAGACTCTTTAGCATGCATAGTGGAGGAGTTGGAAGGAAGAGTGGATAAGCAGCTGGTATGTGACAACATGGCAGCCGTGGCTTTGTCCACCACGCGGACAGGAGCTTGGCGCACACGGCATTTGAAAGTACGTGCGACACACCTCAAATGGAGGGTGGAAGCTGGAGGCTGGAAGATGCACCATCGACGGGGCACAGAGCTCGTCGCAGACATGGGTACAAAGCTTCTTGGTGCCAACAAAACGAAGGATCTGTCAAAGAAGATGAATCTGGAATGGCTACCAGATGTAGTAGCTTTCTCCAGAGCGAAGGAAGAAAGGATTGAGAAAGAGGAAGAAAAATTGGCAGAGGAACAGGACAGAGAACCAGCTGTGACGGTATCCAAGAAGGTCTTTGCAGGAGATATGGAAAAGGTGGTAAAGATCGCCACCCTCATGGCGGTACTTCAGAAGGTAGAAAGAGTATATGCCATGGACAAGAGTGAGACGGAAGAAGGATCAGAAGTTTTGGCGGCATTTGGCTTGTTGATGATGATCCTTGGAGTGGTTTTGTACAAGTTGGTAGAAAGAATGTGGAAGATCTTTCATGAGAAGAGAGATCACGAGGAATGCCAAGCTCGCGCCCTTACGCGCGACTCTCGCGCCCTTATGCGCGACTCTCGCGGCCTTATGCGCGACTCTCGCGGCCTTACGCGCGACTTTCGCGGCTTCATGCGCGATCGAGAACGTCACCAACTTCATGTACGCGAAGAAGAAGAAGAGATAAGTTGTGAAGAAGGAGAACAGACCACCGTGAAAGTGGCGACTCTGAGGATGAGAAAAGCTGAAAATAAAGGTTCCAATGAAAAAAGACAGGAAGGAGGAAGCTCCGCTACCAGAAGCGACAGTCACACAACCGAGAAAGGCACGGAGGAACGACATGACAAAAAGGGAGCACAGACAGTGCCTCCTATGCCCGCTCAAGGACGGAGCTGTGGGAACCCTGGAGGAGAGGGAGCCCAGTCTGCTCGTCCTGGACGACGCTGTGGGAACCCTGGAGGAGAGGGAGCCCAGTCTGCGGGTCCGAGCGGAGCAGTGCCCACTCCTGGATGGCGCTGTGGGAACCCTGGAGGAGAGGGAGCCCAGTCTGCGGGTCCGAGTGGTGCAAAGCCTAACCAAGGAGAGGGAGCTCCGGTCTGCGCGTCCAGATAGTGCAGAGAAGCCGAACCTGGTGGGGCCAATCATCACACCAAATGGGAGGAGATTCCATAGAAGCAGTGGATGCCCGACGTTGGCACAGTCTTGGAAAGGAAGAAAGCCGCTTTGTGGTGAATGTGGCGACACCTACTTGGTGGCTGACGTGATGATGATGGATAAGAACCAGTTAGTCCATACGAAGAAGAAGTGCCCTAAGGTTGTGGGAGAGCTGATCGGATATGACGCATGCCAAAGGTGTGCTTAGCGGCTTGGGCCTAGAGAGCTCAAAATTTTCCAGAAAGCAGGATTGCATGAACATGTCAATCCTGGGAGGAGTGCATGGATGTCAGACACTCCAATTTGAAACGTGAAACAGCATGTTCAGTTGTGTAGGTTTCAGTCTTGCTGAGAAAGTCAGAGAAGATTAGCACAGCCACCTGCACAGGATGACACGCCAAATCGAGACGGCATAGCCGCTTTGTGGTTCAAAACAAGTTGCCAGGGCTGACCTGCGTGCAGTTATAGTTATTTTCCAAATTTTGGGATGCAATGGAAAATAACACAGATGTGGACAACCTACCAAAAAAACAAATCATCTCCGACCGGAAATCGATGGTTTTTCCACATGTTTCTTTTACCCCCAGGGTATATCCCTTCAGTCCCACATGAAAAAATCATTTAAAAAAAAAAACAATTACACAACGTTAAACAAAAACTACATGTTCTGGTCCTTGATTTCTGCATTCCATTTTCCCCTGACATCACCAACCCACTCCTCACTCTTCACCAAGCGACACATCCTTCACACGATCCAAACGCAGTTGATGCACATGTCCAGCAAAGATCAGCGACACCCCGTTGGACCTGGTGGGTTCCAGGCTGGCTTTGCCATGGTGGGACCTGGGAAACAACCCCAAAATAGATGCCGAAACGTTGGAAACCTGCAAATAGGAGGTGAATATCATCTAGACCATCCAGGTTACACATTCTTTTATTTTTGTGGGATTACTATTTGCTACATCATATACTCTATGCATGCATCCACATTGTGATGGAGTTCACCCTTCTTTGCAACGGCTATTTCAAGCGCGCGAATCCAACACAAATCTCGCAAGCACAAACTTCCATTGTGGTCAAAAGGTGGTGTTTCTCTATTTTTAACCCTCGCAGAACAGTCAACAGTCAAACAAACTGATGTTTTTCAAGTGGGATAATCACACCAGTATCGAACATGATTTTATTCCTTGAAAACATGCCCATTCTGAAATCGGTAAAACTGAACATGTATACCAAGTTCAAATATATATATATATATATGTATATCTCTCTCTGAATATATCTACTGTATATATCTGTATATTAGATATAAAAGTATATGTGAATACTTTGTATATATATATATATATTATATCATTAAAAAAAACATATATCAATATTATATATATACACACATGTGTAATTTATAAGTATATAAAAAGTACGAACAGGTATATAATATATATATATAGAAGTATTTTTAAGTATAAATCCCTCCCCGCTATGGTATCCCCCACATCCCCCCCTCGTGGGGGTGGCCTGGACATATAGGATCCCACAAGTTATACTTTACATACGTACTTCCATGCACTTTTTCACTACCTCTATGCCGGCCCCCACACATGCCAGAGGGAGGGGGGACCGTGGGGCCAAGCTACACCCTACAAACAATTTATTTTGGTCATTATTGTCAAGATCTCATATGCTATACATAAATGCTAGCCACGTATTACCTATCCACTACCTACATATATATATATATACTTTAGAGGTTGGGGTGTGGGGGTCGTATGCTAAAAGTAGGTGCTAGCAGCTTACAATCCACAAACTATCTATATACATGATACCTCTACCCTCACCCACCCATCCCACATGGGGCGTGAGGGTCGTATGCTATACTCCTAAGTGCTAGCAAGATACTACCTATAAACTAGCTACAGGATACCACCATGCAGGGCTCACTACTTATACTCCACTTCACCCTTTCCACAGAAGGGTGCCTCGGGATCAGGGTAAGTCAGACCCTACATACAAAATATTTACAACACATTAGTGCCTATACAGTTCGATGGGAACAATCATTGTATGGTTCATAGTCATACATGACTTACTGTGCCCATTTTGGGCGAGACTTCCCCCAAAGAGTGCGCATTTAAGATGTGACAACGAAGCCCTCGCGCGAGGCTTCCTCTAAGAGTGCGAGATCAAGCTCTGGAAAAAATGCTGGTTTCTTGTGAAGATTTTGGCCAAGGTCTTGTAGAGGTCCCCGATGTTTTGAAGATCCAGATGAAATCCTCAAAGAGGTCCTTGCATGATCTTGTACAGGTCCTTATGAGAAGATCTTGTGAAAATCTTGCTGACATTGTCTAAGCGCTCCTTGCATGATCTTGCACAGGTCATTTATCACTATAAAATGGGAACCCACGACGTTGGAAAATTGCGGTTTTCCAGAGTATATATGGTCTCTACAGAATGGGAACCTATGACGTTGTACGTGGCTGTCACCCAGGAGGTGAACATTACTATAAAATGCTGCTCTGACCCCCCAAAAATATGTATAAAATCGGGGACTACACTCGAGCCCTAAAAATGAGAGATACCATGTGTATCAAAAAATGCTCTTATCCGGTGGATATTCCCCATTTTATAGAGGAAATTCCTAAGGGGATTCATACATTATAATCAATAGTAGATGTATCCTCAATCATGACTATAACAATTAATAATCATCGAATACCATCACAAGGTGGTGCCCCTAAGATGTTATAAGTTGGTTTATAAGATCCTTTAGCTATAGTAATATTTACCATAAACCCTTGCATTCGGAAAATATCTGCGATCGGAATCATGTCCATCCGGCTCCCAGCCGGGTGACGCAAAGAGCTTTAACATCACATCGCCTCAAGGCCCAAGGCCCAAGGCAGCAGTCATGTACGATTGGAGGGAGTGCTGCTGAACTTTCAAAGTGGATGATTGTGATGGTTGTGATGATGATATATATATATATATAAGTTCCACAAACATCTGCCAGGGTCTAAACTGTTGAACTTTGAAGATACACAAAAAAAAGCCGCGTACTGATCAATTGATACCACAACATGTGAACAGAATCATCAGCTAATAATCTATGGCCAGAACATGCCAGAAAATTCTTTACAACAACGGTTGGGTTCCGCACTTCGTTGACGTTTCCGAACCAGGTCCCAGTAGCTGATCCACATGACATGGGGATGGGTCAAAAGATGTAAAAAGAACCTATTACCCAAGAGTAAACATACAAAAAACTATGGAAAATCACCATTTTATAGCTGGGTAAATCAACTATTTCTATCATCATGTTCAATAGCTATGTTAATATATGTTAGTCATTACCAGAGGCTATTCCCACTTCCGCGTGCAGTCCAAGCTGCCCAGCATTTCACAGGGATGATGTCCCACCACCCACTTCCTGAGAACGGTGGTAAGGCGCGCGGCATCCTGGCACTGTAAAAGTGGTGTTTTTTTTTGCCATCCCAAAGATGCAAAAATCCATGGAACAAAACCAGGTGATTCTTTAAAAGCCATCCCAACTGTAGTTATATCCGAACAACGATATCCCGGTCATATTAGCGTCATCTCAACGTCAAGCATGTTCCCAACTTTCGATGGGAGTGATTCGAAGCGATCAGCATCCCTGGTGTGGGTCAAGACTGTGGACGTTACCCAAAAAAACGCCTGACAGGATGATCAGTTTTAGTGGCTTCTTAATGGTGGAATATGATTGGGATATCCATGGAATATTCATGGGATATGAATGAACTATTGATGGATTTGTTTGGTCTTGCAATGTCACAACCCAGTTTTTTTTTTAGAAAGATCATCATCATCATCATCATCATCATCATCATCATCATCTTATTTGGTGACATTTATGTTGGACTCACAAAGGTTTCCAGACCCACAAGTTTTGTTGCTGAAAAAAAACCTTTGAGAGTAAAAAAAGCAAGGTCTATTGGATAATTCAAAAGTCTCCACATATCACCTTAAGTTTATCTATACTGATTTGCAATTCACTCGGTTTGAGGCTTGAACACTTGAACCCCCATTTCAGTTGCTTAATCCTCCATGATTCATGATGTCATCTCTATTTCGCATCAGTTTTCATGGTTAAATGCCATTCAATCCCTTTCAAATCCAATAAAATCAAGGTTCATATTTCCTGGTGTCGCTGCTTAAAAACAGATTGAACCTACACATTTCTTGGTTCAACCACCCTCAATGTTTGTTGCTTCCTTGGCGCCACCCCCTGCCGCGGCACCACGTGGCATTGGACTTCGGCAGTTCCTCCCGGAGCCATTGCAGCTGCGCCGCGTAGGTCTTCTGATGAAAGGTCTCGCACTGCGCCGCATTGCCTCGGGCGGGATTTTTACATATGTTTCGGAAGAATTATTTCAGATGTGTAAAGATATTTTGGGATATAGATTGATGATGATGATGTTTGTTCTACCATATGATGTCTGATGATTTATGTTGATTTATGATATTTGGGATTTTGTTCAGGAATCTACTAGATTCTACTGCATGGGACTTATACTGGGATTTATTTAGAAAAATCCTGGGTCGATTCCACCGCAAAGGTGCGATCCTTAACTTCTCATCCATCAAGGTTGGCACATTTTCTTTCGCCCCATTTCAAAACATGTTTGCTATTCAAAAATTCAAAACCCATGTTTCCATATATGTTTCCCACATGTTTCTGGTTTGAATCCCCATGTCTGAAACCACCAGGTTTTTGTCTCCACATGTTCAACGTTGCTAAACAACCAGCATTTTCCATCCGCCTCTGCCGCCTCTGCCGCCTCTGCCGCCTCTGCCAAGTCGCAAACCTTCTCTGAGGTGATCTTGCTCTGACCGTGGCACAGCGAATGCGAATTCCTGACGTCGTGACCGGCGAAGGGGATGTTTCGGTGGATTTCCCATGGAAGCAACAAATCCATCTGGATCATAACCGGCAAGAATACGAAAACCAAAGAACACATATCTTAAGACTGGGCATACATATCTTAAGCATGGGGAGATATTGAGACAAATTCTGACAAAAGGCTACCTGCAGCCGACCAGGACCAGGATGAACTTGGGTGTCTAATTTGACGGGTCCGGCTGGTTGACTCTGGAGGTAAACAGCTTTGGAGTGAGTCGGTGTGGCTAAAAGCCGTTGACCACTTTTTTTCCGCGGTTTCAGATCCAAATCAACGATGTGCAAGTCCCCTTTTTTGTTCCCCATTTGAAAGCCTGGTCCCAGAGGAACATGGATAAGTGTTGCAATGGCAACGATCTTTAGGTGAGTAATATATGTTCCTTCATGTACTTCCAACCGATATTTAAAAAACAGTCGACAAAATAGTATTAGTGTGCATTAACATGCATTAACATGTATTGACATGCATTAATAATACGTATGTTAACAACATGTATGAACATGTATTAACCTAAATACCGTACACCCAAAGTTCTTATGTTATATCATATAATGTATAATTATACCATGTTATATAAATCTATATATATATATAATGGTTTGTAAATGGTTGTAAGTAATAACAGATTAAATACATTTAAACAACGTGTCTTTTTTAAAGCATGGATCAAGGTTGACCCAGCCAAGCAACACCCAGTTGGAATCGATGGCAAAGACGTCGATGCTAAAGTCCTCCATGGCAGTCCATGGCAGTCCCATTGCGGGGAAGTCCAACCAACAAAAAGGTGGCAGTGCCAGTATCATCACTGGATTGGTTTAAGGGAAAATTTACAGGAAACCATGGTTTTTACCATTAAAATATGGGGTTTTCCTGTAATTTTTCCCTTAAACCAATCCATTGATATCAACAACTGGTTGGTGAAAAAAAACCATCTTGAAAAATATGAGTTCGTCAATGGGAAGGATGACATCCCATATATTATGGAAAATAAAAAATGTGTTAAACCACCGACCTGACAAGCGATGGAGATGCAATGTATGATATAAGTTCATGCAATATCACCAACAATCTGATATTTGGGGATGGACAAATGGTGTATACCCCCAACTTGTGGCAACTTGATTGGGAAGGGTTGATGGTAAAGCAATGATTTTTTGAATACATCATCTCATCATTGACCACACAGGAGCCAAATGGCGTGGGTCAGTCATGGTCAGTTGATTTCCCCATCTATGGGCACACTAGACTACTCCATATCAGCCATTATCCAATTCATACACACCATTCCATTAACCATCATCAAACATCAACCATCATAAACCATCATCAACCATCATTCGCCCACTGACCAACCCCAAATTCACTGACCATCAACCATCAAACCACCATTAAATCACCATTAAACCACCATTAAATCACCATTAAATCACCATGATTCACCTACCTCTAGGTGGACCCACTGGAACTCACCTGGTACTTGAAGGACTTCTTGTAGTACCTCTTGGGCAAGACCCAGCGTTTCCTTGGCGGCCCATGTGGGTAAAACAATGCCATTTTTACTTCCCACCCGACTGACTGGGAATGGTAAGTTTATACCACCATTAAAAATGGTGATGACTGGGGGATGGTTTATTGTTGTTCTACTCACATTAGTTGCTTTTCCCAAATCAGAAATAAAACTTGGGTGAGAATGAAACATGTTCTCCATCAGGATTCATGAAATAATTACGAACTAAACCAATAAACCAAGAAGAACACACCCTTCCTAATTGTCATCTATGGTGAGGTTGGCCAGTGATGTCGCTACAATTTACCTCGGCCTATGGGAAACTGCAAAATGATTCACCATTCACCTTACTAGCGGTAGTACTTTGGGAACATCAAAACTATGAACTTCGAGCCCAAAATACACGGCCAAGGCACCGTTTGGGTGCCTCAGGCAAAGTGGCAAAGTTGCGGGCAGAGTGGTAACAACTGAGGGATTTCAAGAATTGGCGTGGCTCCGGTCTTAAAACACAGAAAAAAAGATCATACAAGTAGCAGCAACAACAACAACAAACCACAACCACAACAACAACCACCACCACCACAACAACAACAACAACATGCAGTGTCTAAACATTGCACATGACACAAACTGCGGGGATTCAAATCCACCAGAGAAGTGTGGGTTCTCTGGATCTCTGACAGGATTCTGGAAGGTCAACCCAACAAGTTTAGCATCTCAGCGGCTGAGTCAATGTAGTGCTGGTTCCTTGAACAAGGGATTATACTGATGCAGAAACACACGTCTTGGGGGCTTCTTACAAGGCATCGTTTCTCAATAATGTCTAGAATAACAATCATTTGGAAAATTATGCAAACATCCAGTTGTTCAATTATTATACTTCTAGAACATGTCCGAACAAATTTGACCCCCAACATATCCCAAAAAAATCATGCCAAGTCAGTCGGACCGTGTTAGTCAACCATGGCGACGACCGATCCCTGGACCCTTCGGATCACTTCGGCGCGCAAGGCACTGGGAACTCCCAGGACTTCTCATCGTCGTAGCTGATCTGCGCATCGCTACATCCACCGGTGCCGCCCTCAAAGAGGCAGCCGTCGCACTCGTGGCCACCGTAGTCGTGGTTCCCCAGGACCTAGGAGATGTCTGAGGATTTTCCCAACTTTATGGGTTATGAAAGGGTTATGTATGGGTTATGTATGGGTTATATATGGGTTATATATTGGGTTATATATGGGTTATATATGGCTTATATATGGGTTATATATGGCTTATATATGGGTTATATATGGCTTATATATGGGTTATATATGGCTTATATATGGGTTATATCCCATAATGGGGATTTGCTAGGCAACATAGGGTTAGTTTTGGGATATGTTTTAGGGTTAAGCACCTTTCAGGTGCCCCGAGATTCTGGAGATCATGGATCATCAAACATGGTCATGGCTGGAAAATTCTGCATTTCTGGTTGATTTTTCCACTAAAGCATCCATTTGTAGGTTGTAGGGGAGTTTCCCTTGCCACCAAAAACTGGATATGGACCCGTTTGATCAGCTCAAAGTATCCTCCTTGTGTGGGTGGGAGAACCAAAACGAATAGTGGTAATGGTTGAAGAACTCGCTTAATTACATGGTTGGAACGAATCGAGAGGCCCTAAACTATGAACTCCGAATTGAATTGATTTGATATGTATAGTACCAAACATATATGTTGTTACTTAAACAATAATATATGTTACAGTATATTGATTTTTTAAGAGGATTTAAGATGACTCAAGTATATATTGTTACTTAAACACATTCAAACGTCTGCATGCTCCGCAGGTTTCAATATGAAACCCACCAACTCATCGCCATTTGCGCCGAAAGCTCAGTAGAAGATATCAAACTCATAAACAAAATACCCATCAGTAGATCATTTGGAAAGAAATCATAGATTTCATCCATTTTTTTTCGATGATCACTATGATATCCCATTAAATCACTATAAATCACTATATAAATCACTATAAAATCCCATTAAATCCCATTAAATCCCATTAAATCACTATAAATCCCATTAAATCACTATAAAATCCCATTAAATCCCATTAAATCCCAGCCCTTTTTTTTGTCGAATCCCCATGGAAAATTTTCTGTCGGCTTCATGGGATGATACTGTGCCGAAGTGACATTGAGCCACGGAACCTGGAGGGACTCATGGTGATAGACCTCTTCGAACCTGAGTCATGCGTGAGTCCCATGAGATAAAATAGTCATGGTCTAGGGACTAGATAATCCATATACCCGGAGGGACCTAGGGACTCATGCGTGACATTTTTTTTCTGAATCTTTTTGGAGATGTGAAAATGGCATAAAATATATCCCATAGGATCCATGGTGCTGGTATATATTGGTATATTTGCCTACATTTGGGTCATATATGGGGCAAATGTTGGTAAATATTCCATACATGGATCCTATGGGTATGGAATAATATGGTTGGAAGATGGTTGGAAGATGGTTGGAAGATGGTTGGAAGATGGTTGGAAGATGGTTGGAAGATGGGAATAATATGGAATAATATGGGTCAATCATCTCATGCCGGGCAATTGTTTAAGGGGGAAATGGATGTTTCATATGTTGAAGATGGGAAAAGATGGGAAAATAATGGAGGTTGGAGAATCTGAAGGGAAAATGGAACTCAAAGGCTAAAGATATGGCATATCCTTGAAGTAAAAAATGTGAATGGGACAATTGTAGCGTCACCCGTCACATATTCCCCCCCAGGGACCAAAAACTTTGACGGGTAAACCAAGTGGATTCCATCTGTAACAGGCTAATAAATCCACGTCCCCGAAATTCTACCTGCCAAGCAATAACTGGTTGGTGGTTTCAACCCCTCTGAAAAATATGAGTTCGTCAGTTGGGATGATGACATTCCCAATATATGGAAAAATAAAAAATACATGTTCCAAACCACCAACCAGATAAAAATGATGAACAGGGTCGAGATCATCTTGGTGTCAGAAGAGGTGGTATTTCGGATGTCTATAAACTTTGACCCAACGTCGAATAAAAACCATGGAATGACTGGATTCTGCAGGTCCCCCTGGCAACAAGCGCAATGTTCCCTCCCTTTGGCGATTCTGAAGTCGCTTTAGTCAAGTTGGACCCGTAGAATCAATCAAAGATGTTGGATGTTGGTCATTTTAGGCTGTAAACTATACCATTTTGTTGGGTGTATATAATATATATATATATAATATACACCCAATCAATAAGTCGCTATATGTCCATGGCTATCAGCAGCTACCAGCATTTGCCCCACGAAATCAGCTGTGCAACCAATCGCCTATGAGTCCAAGCAGCATGTATCGCCAGTTGAGGTCGAACTCATCCATCACCCCTCGCAGATAGAAGTTGTCCCCTACGGAAATCACGAAATCCACGGTGTTCACAGAGGAACTGGCGGCTGCCATGCCATCAGCCACCGCATACCTGGACGCGCCGTACAGCGTATTCCGATCGAAGTCACTGATCACTTTAGTTCAGGCTGATGGAAATGCCAAGGGTGGCCAGAAACAGATCATCAATTCATCGGAAAATCATCGTAAAATCCTCATATTCACCATATTTCACCATATGTTCAAGGATTTTGGTGGCATGTGTCATGGGTTTAACTCATCCTTCACCATTCTTTGTGGTGCTTCAACGTCCGAGGTCGCAGAAAATGACGAATTCCCCAGAAGTTTCAAAAGGAGCAGTAGAGTCCCCCCAAGAAACAATGTGATACGTTAGAAGCCAAATCCTACTAAACTATAGTGGATAATTACTGCTCAATAGTTCCATCATGTTCTATCTTATTTATTCATACTTATTCAAGGTTTCTACTTTTTTGGGGTCGTTATACTGTATTGATTCCCAAACAAATGTAGAAACTTTGCATTTTATGGGTATACCCGGCGACACATTCACCAAGACACTGCGCGAAGGAGTCTTTCCACCAGGCTGCGTTGTTGGGATCGCACTGGGCCCTGAGAGTTTTCACAAATGCTTAGTGAGTTTTGGTTTCTTAGACACAATGGGGCGGGGTTCATGTGTGTTCGCCAAGTTTGGATTATCATTAGAAGAAACTATCGTATAGTCGATGTATTCAACAATAAGTTATAACAAGTTCATAGTGTGAACATAAACCGACATGACTGGCGGGTACCATCTTCTACCAGTAGTATTTGCTGGTGCATCATTCATGCCACAACGGACAAACCATGACTTGGAGGGATGCATGAAAAATTGGGGAAAATAACATACATCATGAACCGCTTTCAGCAAGTGCTCATACAAACCCGTTTATGATATTTATGGATTTCAAAATAGGCTACCCCGAAAAACTCCATGATGGTTTATCAATTTTATCATCATATGTTCCCTATTAGAATGGTAATGATTTGGGTGATCACCATAATTTCTGGGTAAATTATAACGACCTCACTGCGACCTCACTGGAATCATAGTCAATAAGGGGAATCATCCCCAAATGGCCTTAATTCAGGTTAGTGAAATATTATAATTTACCCAGATCATTTTCACCATGATTTGGGTGTCCCATTCCCATTTTCCACCGTTTTCACCGAGCGGCAGGCCCCACAACGCTGGATCGTACATGCAGAGGTGGTGCAGCGATCCGCAGCGAAGGTAGCCTGGTTGAAAAGTGGGCGGATGCCTGGTTCCTGGAGTTGGGATGGTTTACTGTTTTCACTATATTATATACTATTAAAAATAGTATAATATAATATAATGTAATATAATATAATATACTATAATATAATTTAATATAATATAATATAATGCAATATAATAGAATAGAATAGAATATAATATATACATAATGTATATATATATAAATTATTATATACTGTACTTGGTTCAAACAGCGAAATAAAACCAACTTGTGATTGTGCGGGCCGGCTTTGTAAGTGGAGTTCCTGAAATTCGGGCTGTGCAGGAAATGTGTGTGTCTCGGCCCCGGTGGTGTGCGGCATTTCCGCGCGAAAACGCGAAAACGGGCAACAAAACGCGAAAACGCGAAAACGCGAAAACGCAAAAACGCGCACGGCAGTACAAGAACGCGAAAGTTGGACAGCTATGATCATCTCCGGATCTAGCGGCACGTCAATGCAAAATCATTATATTGTGCTGCAATAGCGGTGTTGATCTGTGTTGGGCTGGGACTTCAAGTACAGAGTAGTGGAATGCAGGTTCATGTGATGTGATTTTTTTAAAGGTATCTATAGATCTATATTTCATTCTAGCCCTACCTACCTACCTAGCTAGCTAGCTAGCTACCTACCTACGTATCCATCCATCCATCCATCCGTCCGTCCGTCCATCCAATCTATCTAATCTATCTAATCTATCTATCTATTCTAATCTATCTATCTAGTCCATCTGTTTTATCTAATCTATCCGATCTATCATATCCATCCATCAATCTATCTATGTAAGCTATGTACCTAAGCTATGTATCTATGCTATGTATCTCAGCTATGTATCTAAGCTATGTATCTAAGCTACGTATCTATGTATTTATGTATCTATGTGTCTGTGTGTCTAAGCTATGTATCTATGAATCTATGTATCTCTGTATCTGCGTATCTATGTGTCTATGTATCCATGCATCTATCCCACTCTCTCTCTCTCTCTTTCTCGTCATCTCTCTGTTTATCTATCGATCAATCTACCAAGCCGTCTATCTATCTACCCGTCCATCTGTATATCACCTATCTTCGCCTTGTCTATCTGCCTACCTACCTACGTACCTCTCTATCTCTCTATATCTCTACCTCTCAATTTCTCTATCTAACTATCTGTCTATCTATCCATCTACCTATCTATCTATTTATCTTTATTTCCTCTATCGCTTGTCTAATCCTTCCCAACCTTTAATTTTCTGTCATCCAATCTACCTGTATTTAGTGTTCTTGTTATGCATCCGTGTTTTTAATCAAAATTCGACGGACATATTTATGCATATTTCTGTAGTCTGCATTTATGTTCTCATCTATGCTGGCATCTTTGTTTGTTTGTATGTATCGAGGTGGTGCATTGCAATGCAAAGTGGCAACATAATGAAACTTAACGGACTGCCTTTATGCCTGCAGGCACGTGTGCATGCATGTTTCGGACGTATGTATGCATGCATGTGCCTCTCTTTGCATCGATCTTTGTATCTATTTATGTAGCTGGCACAGCGCGTGGTAATATGATGCATGTGATGTAATGCCTTGTAATTTCAACCAACACATATATATATATATTACATATATATGTTACATAAATATACATAGTATACATAAATATATATTATACATATATATATTATACATATATTTATATTATACATATATATATATATACATATTACACACACATATATATGGTTTACATATATATATATATTATACACATATATATTATACATATATCTATTTTACATATATTTATATTATACATATATATATATATATACATATTACACATATATTTACATATATATATATGGCTTACATATATATATATGTTATATATATATATATATGTATATAACATATATACATATATATATATACATATATCATATATATTTATATTATACATATATATTTTACAATATTTTACATGTATATATTATACATTTATATACATATATTTTTTACATATATATATATATAAGATGTACATTCATTTACGGGCATACACATTTATGCATGTAATGCAACGTATATGTGAGTGTGTTTGGATGCGTGGATGAGCGTGTATAATGTGAAATCCAGCATTGCGGTGTCGTGTGGCGTCACATAACACAAAATGTAATGCCCCACAGCGAAGTGGGATACATCTTTGTATGTATCTTTGTATGTGTACAGCTATGTATGTCTCTATGTAACTATGTATGTCTCTATATATGTCTCTATGCATGTCTCTATGTATATCTCTATATATGTCTCTATGTATCTATGTATGTCTCTATGTATCTATGAATGTCTCTATGTGTGAACATTATGCAATGCCTTGCCATGAATCGGACGGTGAACACAACGAAAACATGCATGTACCGATGTATGTACGATTCTCACATGATCTACGTATATGAAATGCAGCGTAACATCGTAGCATGTTGTGCATTGATGCGTTTATGAATCTCGGTATCTTTGGCGTGTGTGTGCGTGTAAGGATGTTTGCCATACATGTGTGCATATGCATCTATGCTAGAATCAGTGTATTTATGTATACATCCATATTTCTATGTATGTACCTATATGTGTGCGTTCTTGTTAGTACCCTTGGAATTACATCATTGCAATGCAGCGTAGTGTAACGCAATGGATTGTAATGCAGTGAAATATACTGTAGCGCAATGTAGTAGTAGAATGTAGTTTGATGCAATGCAATGCAGGTAATCTAAGGTAAGGGCAGGAAACGGAATTAGCACAATGTACTGCATGTTTGTCCGTATGTGTTGTGTTGTAAAGTAACGTGGCGTAGCGTATTGTTTGTCTTGTATTGTGTTGTATTGTGCTGTACTCCTTTGTATTGTATTGCATGGGAGTGTCCTGTGATGTGTTCGAAATATGTTTTTGTATCTATCTTTCTGCCTATGTATGCACTTTTGATCACTTTTGTATCTGTGTATATCATTTTGTATCTATGTATCTATGTGTTGATGTATGAGCAGATGGAGGGGTTGGTGTGTGCACAAAAATGCAAGTACATGAACATGTAAGTGTAGTACGCATATTATGTGTGTATATATAGTTGATTGCAAATGTAAAGGTAAGAGACATGTAATGTAAGTGTGTGTGTGTGAGAAACCCTGAATCAAAGGGAAAAGCAGGGGGCCCGTGGACGCATAGATGGCACGGGCCAACGAAGACCCATCTATGTCGTCGTGAAAACGTACCTGCATCCGAAATGGCAAGGTGGCCAAGCCAAAAACCACCCATGCCGACATGCCATGACATGACATGACATGACATGCTAACGTAACAACACGACATGGCGGTTATCATTTCATCTCATTTCACCCTCTCCATTATGGAGTTTACCAAAGTGTGTCTTTCATGCACCCGGATCTCTGACAAAGTGCCGGGGAAGCTTGGTGGCGCGTCCGCCGGGGATACCAGGTTACAAGAATAAATCCAGACATAATGTTGCCAGAAGCCAGTTCCGCACAAGCATCCAGAGTCCGCACAAGCATCCAGAAGACTCCATCAGGGGATTGAATGCTTTTCAGAATAAATCCAGAGTCCATGCCAGAATAAATCCAGAGTCCACGTCAGAATAAATCCAGAGGGAAATTTTCATCCCTCAGAATAACCCCGTGTCATCCCATGTGGTTCTACTTGTTTAACTAACACGACCGTCATTTCACTCTTAACCTTGACCTCTACACATGAACTAGTAGTATGATTGCAACACGGATACCATGCATGACTGCTCGCGGCTTTTTACAGACATGACTCGTTAGTCTCGCTGAGACCAGTTTATGGTTTTCGCGTAGTTTACATGGTGCAACATGAAAACCCTGAACATGAATCATCACGTAGTTCACATGGCGCAACATGAAAGCCATGAACATGAATCATCATGCCATGTTGACTAATAACATGAGTTAGATAACTTTCGGTTTGACATCATGGCCACATTGAAGATTGACATGTGCAGCGCTTGCAGCTTCGTGATTCCGACCATGCAGCCCGCGATGACGGCAGCTGATTTGTTTGCCCAGTGGATGAGTTCAGCATCACACAACACACAAGCATCAGCACCTTTTCTATCAACATTCTCAAACTCCACAACAACATTATCCAGCCGGACACACCTTACCACAATCAATGCAACCACAGTGTACCACAGCAGCTTTCACACAGCCTTTTGCTCCAACTCCACAACAACAACAACCACAACTTCTGGGACACACCGTCACACAGCCAACACAAGCACCATTTGCCAACTCTGCGTTTACACAACCTCCATCTTGTCACACTTTCAACACACCACATCACAGCACAGCCATGCCAGGTTTTCAGCCACCACCACACTACAACGCAGCCATACCCAATCCCCAGCTCTCACCACCACAACATGGATCATTCCTCAATTACCAGCCTACACCACACTCAACAAGCACGACACTAGTACACCAGTTTCACAGCAATTTCCAACCACTACAGCTTCAACTCCACCACTGAGTCACAACAAGCACAACCGTACACGATCTCGCACCACAAGCAAGAAGCACAGATATCAACAAGTTTTCCAATTTTACAACCACAATCTTTCCAAGCACACCACAGCTTGGGTTCACCTCCACATTCTTGCTGAGCAAAGCCAACGCTCATTTGACATGCAACGCCATATTCGATCCAGTTCCACTCACTCCAATCACCTTTGAAAGCCATGAATGTGAATCATCATGCCATGTTGAGTAATAACATGAGTTAGATAACTTTCGATTTGACATCATGGCCACATTGAAGATTGACATGTGCAGCGCTTGCAGCTTCGTGATTCCGACCATGCAGCCCGCGATGACGGCAGCTGATTTGTTTGCCCAGTGGATGAGTTCAGCATCACACAACACACAAGCATCAGCACCTTTTCTATCAACATTCTCTCAGACTCCACCACAACATTATCG